CTGGCGTGCTGCAACTGTATGGACCCCACTTCGTGAAATGTTTGCACAGAGGGCTCTTGTTGATTTGCTGGCCCGCCTTCACTTAGGGCGGGCACGAGGCTTGCTGGGGCCTTAGCCCAAAACATGTACATCATGGCAAGGCCCCTTCTTGAGGGCTCAATCCTCACATTCCAACCCCTTAGCTTCGAAAGTCCGCTGAGATGCTTACTTCGCAGGTGCCTTCCCTTTTAACATTCTCTCATACTCTGCCACCACTTGAGGAGCTGTGTCAATCAGTTCCTCTCTGGTGAACCATCAATCTTCTTTTGGATCTGTATGATGCCTGAATCTGACGTGATACTCCCGCTTGGGTTTTGGAGGTCTTCCTCTACCCAATGGCTTCTAAACAGGCAGATCTCTATGATCCACAATGTCGTCGATGTCCACTTGACCATCCATGGTTGGGGGCAGCAACGATCTCCTTGAAGGGAATTGATCTGTCTCAGCGAAAGGTGCAAGCTTTGAGGCATGAAAGATAGGGTGAGTGCGTAGGTGTCCAGGGATACGGATAACATAGGTAGGACCATCCATTTCATCCCCCACGACATCCAGGACTTCCCAGGGACCAAAATACTGAGGCATTAGTTTACGAGAGATCCCGAATTCCTGTCCTAGCTCACTAGCCTTGACCCAGACACGTTCCCCTACCTGAAATGAGGACTGTCGTCGATGCTTGTTCTCAGAAGCAATCATTGCTTGCTGAGCTTTCTTGATGTGCTCGACAGCTTGCTGCAGCAACTTATCATACTGCACACTATACTCAAGTGTGCCTGGAGTTGCAGAGGATCGGTTTTCAGGTAAGAGGAAGTCTAGAGCTGATCTAGGCTTCCATCCCAAGTGCAGCTGATTAGGACTAACGCCGGTACTGCTGTGTACAGCATTGTTGTACAGGCTGGCGATGAGAGGCAACTTCTCGTCCCAATCATCCTGGCTGGGCTTGATGTAATGCCTCAACAAGTGCTATACAACTCTGTTCATTTTCAACAAGTGCTGTACAACTCTGTTCGTTTGCTCGGCCTGTCCGTTGGCTTCGGGATGATTCCCTGAAGTCATCTGAAGTTGACTGCCCATCTGCTCAGCAGTCTTCTTCCACAACTCACTTGTGAATCGGACATCTCTGTCACTAACGATTGACTTTGGAAGTCCAAAATCAAGCACCCAGTTGTCCATAAACAACTTGATGACGTGGTCAGTCCTTGCGGTCTCTGGCATGGCAACTAGTCTAGCGTACTTGGTGAATCGATCGATGATGACAAAGATGTGCCTCTTGCCACTCTTACTGGTCACCAGGGTGTCCATGAAATCCATGGAAACACTCTGTCCTGTACCAGCGGGGATAGATAAGGGCTTCAACAACCCAAGCGGTGCTTGAGTTCGCGGCTTGTCCCGCAGACAGACCTGACAGGTCTCTACATACTTCTTTGCGTCATCTAGCATTCCAGGCCACCAAAACTGCTGTACTAGATTGGCACTCGTCTTTTTGTAGCCAAAGTGTCCGGTTGCGTCATCACATTCTCCTAGAAATAAACTACGCAAACGTTCACTAGATGGAACGACTAACCTTTTAACTCCGGCCTTATCAAGATAGAGAAGCCCGTCCACCATCACAAACTCATTTTCTGTGGCCTTGTCTTTTGCTTGAAGTTTGCGTATGATGTCCATCGTGACAGGGTCTTCCTGATAGGCTCCCACCAACGATTGAGTTACTTCTTCAGATACACCAAAGTCAGAAACTAGCGCCCCTAGGTAGTCTGCTCTACGTGATAGCGCATTTGCAACCTTGTCGTACTCTCCCTTTAGATACTCTAGCTTGAAGTCATACTGATCTATGACTTCAATCCATCGCTTGAGTGCATCAGAGAGAACGGGTTGAGTCTTGATCCATTTGAGAGTCTGATGGTCAGTTCTCAAGTAGAAAAACCGTCCCAACAGGAAATGCCTCCAATGGACAAGTGCTTTGTAAAGAGCGTAGAGTTCCCTTTCGTAGGTGGAATTTGCCAGTTTCTTTGATGGCATTTTCTTGCTCATGTACTCAATCGGTCTCAACTTCTTCCCATCCTGCTGAGGCAGCACTGCGCCAATGTCGTATTGGCTTGCGTCAGTGGTTACAATGAAAGGCTTCTGAGGATCGGGCACCATGAGAACCTCATGATTCATGAGTGCATGCTTCAATCGTTTGAAAGCAGCCTCGCACTCATCACTCCAGTCCCACGGCGTGTCAAGTCGAGTTAGATCAATCAAAGGAGAGGCGACTCTAGAATAGTTCTTTACAAAGTTCCTATAGTAGCCGCACATTCCTAAGAAAGATCTGACCTCAGTAACAGTCTGAGGTCGAGGCCAGTCCCCGATACTAGCCACCTTCGCATCTTCCGGCCTAATACCTTCCGCGGATACTTCATGACCCAAGTATAAGATCTTAGTACATCTGAACTCACACTTCTCTAGGTTGACCTTATACTTGTGCTGTCGCAGGAGTGAGAGTACAGTCTCAACGTGTTGTGCATGCTCTTCGACAGACTTACTAAAGATAAGAATATCGTCAAGGTAGACAACGACAAACTTATCTACGTGGTCATGGAAGATCCTATTCATAGCGTGCTGGAATGTACCCGGCGCATTACAAAGGCCAAAGGTCATCACAACAAACTCATAAAGACCATATCTGGTCTAAAATGCAGTCTTGTACTGATCCTCAGGTCTTATTGCGATCTGATGGTAGCCAAATTTTAAATCTATCTTGCTATAGTACTTGCATCCCTGCACCCTATCCAATAGGTCGTCTATGTGATGTAGAGGCTCTGCGTTCTTCACTGTGATGGCATCGAGGCCTCTATAGTCAATGCACATTCTCAATGTACCCCCCTTCTTTGGTACAAATAGTACTGGCGATCCGTAAGGGGAAGTACTCGGCCGGATCCATCCCTTCTCTGTCAGCTCTTTCAGTTGCCGCCGAAGTTCGTCCAACTCGGCCGGAGCCATCCTATAGATCCTTCCCTTTGGGGTTTTACTCCCTGGAATGATTTCTATGGCGTGGACAACCTCCCTTTCTACGACTCCGGTAGGCTCCGTGAACAGATCAAGGAACTTAGCAACGACCTGTTCTATCTCTGGGTGTGTTTTAACGGCCGTCCCTTTTTCAGAGACATATACTAGGTTCATACCCTCCTCTTGGTTCTGTTTGTAATAGTTGTAGAATGTTGATGCACACAAGCTCCGTGAATTTAGTCAGTCGCACCGTCCTTCCATAAGGCAACTTATGTTTTAGCACCTTCTTCTCCCAGTCAAACTAGGGCTTGGCAACCTCAAGGTAATACATGCCTAACAACATGTCGAATGGTAAGTCGTCGCTAACTAGGAACGAAATCTTATGATTAAGTTCCCCTCCTCCATAGGAGAAGGTACAAACTACATCCTTGATATAGTCTGTGACAATCATGCGCTCCTTATTGGCCGAAGTCTATGCTACGGGTCTACTAAGGTGTTGTACCCGGTCCTGTAGGCGCAGCCTTTCCAAACAGTCGCAACTTATGTAGTTCCGCGTGGAGCCGATGTCTATGAAGGCACCACATTTGCGGCCTCCTACATCAACTGCCACAACGAAATGTTCCCCTTTAGGACCTTTCCTTAGTGCCACCCAAGATTCGCAAGGGTCCTTGTTTGACCACTCACTTTCCAGATCTTCTAAGGCTTCAGACACATCCAATGTACAGAGCATAGTTTGGTCTGGATGAGTCTGCGGGGTGACTAAAGAGTCGTTAGCTATGGCCATCTCATGAAGTGGGGAGGGTATCTGGCCCACTTCACCATGAGTAGAAGCAGCTAAAACTTCCACCGGCCTCAAATGTTTCCCGAGCTAGAAGCCTGGGAAGAAGATGCCCCCATCTTAGGAGGTATCTTCTGCGCGACCTTTGCGTTCTGGCACTTGTACTGGGTGTGTCCGTATTCACCACAGTTAATACAAGCACCCCGCACTCGGCGGTCCCGCCACACTTCTTGATCCAGACCTGACTTGACCCAATCAGCAACTTTGGTCTGATTGGAGGCGGCCTTCCCTTGACTCTTTTGATGGCCCTTCACTCGGTCACCAGCCTTAGCCTTAACTACTGCGGCGAGGGTGCTACCCTCAGTGATCTCCTCGCCATCGTACTCTGAAACGTCCAACAGGTCGGTGAGCTCGTTGATCTCTATTTGACTCCCATCGGACTCAACCATCATCAATTTAGCCCCCTTCTTCTTCAATTCCTGTGGACTGTTTTTCTTCCTCGCGCATTCTGAGAAGGTTGAGCATTTCCTAGAGTGGCCTCTAAATCTAAGGCTTTTCCAGATAACGTCTCAAACGAGTGATACTCGAGGCGAGCCTCGCTGGCCAGCAAATTCCTGAGGTTCTCTGGGAGACATCTCACACACGTGGTCAACAAGAACTGGTCATCGTAGTTTATGTCGGGGACAACGATGAGGCTCTCCACGGTAGTCGTAAGCTCCCTGACTGAATTGAACTTTCTTTGGTCTAGTTTGTTTATCGCATCAGTGGCAATTTGTGCCTGTTGTGGATTGTGCCAACGAGCTTCTACCATCTCTAAGAACTGGACTAACGTAATGGTCTTAGCCCAGTCCGCCATGCGTCGTCCGTACCCGGCCTTTGAAACTAAGCCATCCAGCCATTTGGCTGCCTTACCCTCAAGGTAAGATGCAACAGTAATCACTCCTCCTCCTGCAAAGTCCTCTTCGCCTTTACCCATACTGGAACCGTTCTCAACCATGTGTTGAGTTCCTCATCCTTCTTCTATCCTGAGAAGGCAAGAGGCGGTTTCATAGGGGTCTTTGGATACCATTGACCTTGCTGCTGTCCCTGTTGAGGAACAGGTTGTTGCGGTGATGGTGTAGCAACCCCACTGACGCAGAAGAAGAAGAAGCAACAGTTTGTGCGGCTGCTGCACACGTACCACTTGGCTGTGTGCCATCTTGTACCGGAAAGGGGCCTGACATCGCCGTTAACGGCAACAGCAATTGTGCTGCTGGCTTGAATCCTGGCCTTTGCAAAAGGTCCAAGATCTGGTCTAAAGAGTTCTGCATGAAGTCCAGCCTGCTGCCCACATGCGCATGCAGCGACAACATGTTGTTCTTCAATATTTTCACTTGGTTAGTCATAGCTGACTCATTCAAACCCTCTAATGCAGCTTCGTCTGCCTCTAACGTATCAAGCCTGGCTGATCTTCTTTTGATCTCATTTTCTCTATCGGTTGCTTGCTTCAGTTCCCTCTCTAACTGCTGGCGGATCCTTTCGACCTGTTGGAGCTCTAGGAGCTCCCTGCCGCGTGGGGTCAACGGACTTAACTGCGAGTCCGCCATTTGACTTCAACAGGGTCCCTGATGAGGATGCAACAGAGGCCGCGCCGTTAGCCATTGCTGCTGCTCTGGCTGTTGCTGCCTGTTCTCTAGCTGCTAGGTTCGCTGCTGCAAGAGCACGGGCTCTACGTTCGGCACGGAGCCGTGCTTCGTCTCCCGGTTGTAGGGTCTGGAACACATGCGGGACCCTAAGTGCTCCCGAACGTGTAAGCCTCACATTGTCAACTCTACCCTCATCGGTGTCTGACCCGCTCATCAGTTAGGCAAACACTGTCTGCACTACAACCCCCTAGTGGAGTCCTACCACAACATGTGTCTGACCGACACCTAATTTTCTAAAAATAATTGTGTCCGGCAGGTCCCCTACTTTTACCGATCAACATTCACTATAGACTGTCAACATAGTCTAGGTGTATCTTGATTGGTTCACTTACAGCAGCATTAGATAGAACTGGCTATGGTAGTATACAACAGTCCTACTCTAATCTGTCAGTGAGGTGTTAGCAGCTGTCAACCAACTAATCAATAATAAACCAAGACCACGTTGCAGATGTATGATCAGTGGGTATGGTTGTGTTTCCAGTTGAGCATCAATTAGAACCTACCCTCCCATCAATCCAACATACCGGTAAGCATCATTGAGCAGCGGTGTTTTCGTGTGCAATGTCGGCCCACCCCTGTGCTCAAGTCATTGCCGAGCAAGCCAGCCCATCCACTCTTATTTACCCTCGTACGGAACGAGCCTTACTGCCCAGTGTGATCTGGCTGATCAGGAGGGATTTAAGGAGAGCCCCCATCTCCTCAGGAATTCTTTAACGTCGCAGACAGGACGACGATCACAACCAGAATCAACACTGAGTCCCCAACCAGAAATGTTTATAGACGGTCTGGTAAGCGTCTCTTATGGGCTGGCACACCCGGCAGGACTTCTATCAGCGCAACAAAGTGCCAAAATGGACAGCAGCCATCGCATGCGTGACCTACTCCCATTGGGTTGGCATGGTGACCGTGACCCAGTGCTTCGACCAGGGCCCTTCAGAGGCACCGCCCTTTCTCCTTCCAGAAGCTTCCGAGAAGATTGTCGTCTCTCAAGGTAGCGCGCTCACGACACCTCACCAAAAGAGAGGACTCTCAAGTTGGACTCACTTCCTCGCGGTAAGAAGAGATTGAGAGAGTAGATAAGGTAAGGGAACAACGTACCTGGAGATAGCTGCCCCCAACCACAAATTTGTCACCAATTGAGCTGAGTGTGCATTTGATGACCGGTCTTGGCCTCGGTACCACCCACAACGCAATGCAGTGCCACCTCAGCCAAATGCCACATCAACATGCTCTCATCACCAATCAAACATTCCGCCTGTCACCACGGCAATCAATGCCGTCTTAGCCTTCCGGCGCACACACCTCTACCCAAGTCGTGCGCCTAGTATGGCCTGACACAAGAACCAACTGCGAAGAAGCATCGTCAACGCACCAAGTCTGTATAACGCCAGCGCACCAAGGTAAGTGGCGAATCAAACCAGCTCCGATACCAAAATGCGGAACATGAATGTGGACGAAGCACAGAAATCCAGATTGCAAAATCACACTGAAGTCCAAGTAGTCAAAGCAAGAGCAGATAGCACAATGGAACCG